TTTTCCCCCATCCCAATTAACTACATCCTTAGATTTCATTTTTCTTCTCACCAGGAATTGTTTTTATTTACTGATGGACATGCATAGGCCTTTTCAAACTGTTCATGGGGTGACAAACCTAGACAGCATATTAAATAGCGGAGACATCACTTTGCTGACAAAGGTCTGTATAGTCAAAGCTATGGTTTTTCCAGTAGTCATGTATGGATGTGAGAGTTGGACCACAAAGAAGGCTGAGCCCCGAGGAACTGATGCTTTTGAACTGTTGTGTTGGAGAAGGCTCTTGAGAGTCCCTTGGACAGCAAGGAGATCAAACCAGCCAATCCTAAAGGAAATCAACCCTGAATATTCATTGAAGTACTGATGCTGAAGCTGAAGCTCCAATACTTTGGCCACCTGATGCGAAGAGCTAACTCATTGGAAAAGACCCTGATGCTGGGAAAGACTGAAGGCAAAAGAAGAGGGTGACAGAGGATGAGATAGGAATCATCGACTCATCAGTGGACATGAGTTTGAGCAAACTCTGGGAGATAGTGAAGGACAGGGAAGTCTGGCGTGCTGCAGCCCATGAGATCGCAAAAAGTCGGACAGGACTGAGCAACTGAATAACAACAACACTTTCTCCTTAAGGGTAACTTCTTTTTCCAGCTGTGACCCTCTAATCAGGTCTGGGAAGATGTAAGTGGAAAACAGAAGGTAGAGGAGGAAAGGCTGCAAAGAGGCCAGGCACAGGGTAGAACTTCCCGGCCATTTCTATCAGCTTGGGCAGGACCCTGGAGGCACAACTGAACAGAGAAGCAAGGCACGCCAGCCTAGGTTAAAAGTTTGGCCCACACCTGCCACATCCGCTCCAGGACTGCAATTCCCAGAGCTCTCCGCGACAGGGGAGGCCTTGGGTGCGCAGGTGCACACCTGGCCTCCCTGGTCAGCTGGAAGCGCGAACTGTGCAAAAGTGGCTAGGTGTAAGCTCCGAGTCCTCTAAGGTGAAGCTTAGCGGTGGCCCTCAGGGTGTAGCCCAATGGCCCGCTCTGCTGTGGCCAGTCCAGGAAGGCAGCAGCGGTTTCTGCAGTGGGCACACCCCGCGGGCAGCCCTTTGAGAAGCCGAGGACAGACTGTGCGCCTTTGCACGGAAAGGGGTCCAGGTCCCCACTGTTCGTGGAGGGTGGGAGCTGGCCTGGTGCCCCTCTTCTCTGAAGAGTCCAGGGCTTAAAGTGAAGGATGGGGAATTGCAACTGGCCAGGCGGTCAGGCGGACCCCGTACCCAGTGCCATGCGCAGGAATTCAACTGGGAACTGGCCACCGGGACATCACCCTGAGACACAGGCTTCCGTGCTTGTCTTCTGTGCCTCCCTCGTCGGTAGCCAGTGGCTCCTGTTTGTGTGCCTTTAATGGCCTCTGGGTGCCGTCCACCTCTTCCCCTTTAGATTTTCCTGACGCTGGACACCTTACCGAGACCAAGTCTTGCCCAATAGCTGCCTCTTAACAGGACCCTGCTACAGATCCTAGGCGTTTGAATAAGATGGCGTTAGAGAAAATTTAAACTGTTCTTTTGTTGTGGCCACTACCGAAATTTTAGGAAGAGTGAAGGAGCCATCTGGCAGGAGGCTCCACTCCAACATCTCCAAGAGTCAATCATTGAAAACAGGCAAGTCACCTTGCTCTGAAAGTTGCTCAGCTCCGAGTTCTGGAAACGGTGTTTGCTTCAAACTTGTTCCTTCCCATGAGATTCCAGAACAGTCCCCTCTCCCCAACCCCCCTCCCCCCCAACGTGTTCTTTTCTCCTGCTATAGCCTTTATCAAGTTGTAACATGTAGTGTAGAAAACACTTTATGTATCTGTCTATCAGACTTTCTCAAAGGCAGTGACACTAGAATAGGAATCTGAGGAGGGATGGAGAAGGAAAGACTAAAGGATATAGTACAGGGTCTTGGTAGGTGCTGAGTGTGTATTTAATGAATGAAAAAAACAAAAGTTCTGCTTATATTACAGGTGCCCCTGAAAGACTCTGGTTGGTGTGGATCTTCTCCAGAGCCAATCCAAGAGAGGATGGCTGTATCACTAACAGCAGCTAAAACTCTGGCCCTTCTAGGTACACAGGATCAAGAAAAGGTTATGATGATGGAGCCAAAGGAAGAGAAACAGACTTGGGAATGTGAGACCAGACTACATGGGAACCACTCTCCTAGTTAAGAGATCTTCTGCCAGCGCTTCAGGCAGCTCTGTTACCAAGAGGCTCCTGGTCCCCGGGAGGCCCTGAGCCGACTAAGGGTCCTCTGCTGTGAGAGGCTGAGGTCTGAGAGTTACAGCAAGGAGCAGATCCTAGAGTTACGGGTACTGAAAGAATTCCTGACCATCCTGCCCAAGGAACTCCAATCCTGGGTGTGGGGACATCACCCAAAGAGTGGAGAGAAGGCTGTGACTGTGCTCGAGGATTTAGAGAAAGGACTCAATGAACCAGGACCCCAGGTGGAAAGGGGAACATATGATCTGTTGTGGGAACCAGATCAACGACCTTCCAGCCTGACAGAGGGGCAGTAGTAGGGGGAGTTGCCAAGTTCAAAACTGTTTAGGGCCAAGCAGAACACTGAGTGTGTGTTTCTGTCTTTCCTGCCTTCAAGCCCTGAGTGAGACTCTAGCTCTTCTTCCTGCCCCTGTGCTGTGAGGAGGCTCTCTAAAGTCTCCTTGAAAGCTTTGGTCCCACAGAAACCAAGTGGTACTTGATCACCCCCAGGTCCCAGGCCTTGCGTGTGGACCTGCATGGGAAGAGCGATGGGAGAAGGCAGCTCTGGGAGCAGCCCGGGAGAAACCAAGCTTCCAGCTGCAGCCTATGGAGCCCTGGCCCTTCCCAGAGAGTGTTGAGTGGGGAGGGAGGGAAGGAGGAGGGAGTATATAGAGCACAGAGCAGGAACTCAGAAGCTGTCATCATCCTGGCCTCACTGTTCTTATCACTTAGGTGAGAGATGTCATCACCCACAAAATTAGGAATAATGATAACCTACCTTATGTAGTAGCTCTAAGGATTAAATTTCTAGTGTATCTGGCTATAAAACCTCACCAGCATCTCTTGGTTTAAAGAGTCCTAAGTGTGTGCATGCTCAGTAGTGTCCGACTCTTTGTGACCCTATGGACTGCAGCTCACCAGGCTCCTCTGTACATGGGATTTTCCAAGCAAGAATACTGGAGTGGGTTGCCATCTCCTTTTCTAGAGGTCTTCCCAACCCAAGGATCAAACCCGCATCTCCCGTGTCTCCCACACTGCAGGTGGATTCTTTACCGCTGAGCCACTGGGGAAGCCCCGAGGGCCCTGAAGCAGGACCAGAAAATACTTCATTCACTTTTGGCCTCATCATTTTCACTGCCGTGAGCTACAGGCCAGCCTGGAAATCTTTTCTCTTTGAACTTTTTCATGGCTCCCAAAACACAGTGTGTAATCTGTAAGGCATTCCATATGAGACACAGCCTGTCATTACCTTTCTCTACCACGTACTCCCCATCCAGAAGCCCCATGTGAAACTCTCTTCTGTCTACACTTCTGCCCTTCAGATTTACCACAAGAACTTCCTCCCCAGCTTCCATCCATCCCCATAAAGATCCTCTCCTCTCTGTCTATGGCTGACGCTAGACTGAGAGCCTCAGGACCATGAACTGTCCTTGCTGAGCACTGTATAACCTCATAAACCATTGGAAACGTGACATGAATATGTTGCTAATCAAGAAGATTCTATAACACTTGGTTTTACACCATAACCCCACCACCACAAGACAGAAGCATCTGAAAATTCAAATTCTTATTAGCAACAAAACAGGAAAAACAAAAAAATAGATTAATCTTAGTGTCTATTCCAAAAGTACGTTTTTACTTCCCAGCGCTTCCTTCCCTTTCTTGCAGAGTTTTCCTTGTCTCCTTTACCTCTGTTTCATAAGTCTCTCTTCAGAGCTAACTATTGTTTGATATTTTTTCCTAGTAAGCATGTTTCATATTTCTTTAACCACAAGCATTTAACCTGGAAAAAAGATGTATTTTTTAAGTTTGTCATTACCTTATAGCCATTGTTGTTTGTCCTTTTTAGATTATAGAAAGCATTACAGACAATTAAAACCATGAAGTGTCACAGACCTTTTAAAGATGAAAATGCAAAGCATTTGTCTCTTCTTTTTTTAAAGAGCAGGTCAAAGGGAAAGGCTGAGAGCACCAAGCAGGCAGTCATCCCTTCAGTAAAGAACCAGCCGGTTGGGGACCCTTTTCTGTGACTACAGATTGGAGGAGCAAGGGTTGACTGGGAAGAGGTGAAGGTCACAAAGTCAGAGGGGCACGGTCTTTGCACCTTTAGGAACATCCTTTTCCATCACCCTGTGATTCTCATTTTTCCTTTTCTATACAACATCAGTTAACCACTCCCCAGTTCCTTGAAAATATTAACTTCTTCTCATATTTTTAAAGAGTAAATAAATACTAAAAAGATCCTGCCTTGAAATTTATTTTATTTTTCAAATAACATTTTTGCAGTGTTCTATAAATTTAAAAATTAGGGGGAAAAAAAAACAAATAAAGAGAAGGGACGAGAAAAAAAGAAGCTTCCTGTACACAGTCCCATTACCAAGAGATGACCTCATATTTAAGTGACTGTCCTTCTGAATTCTGTCGAGTGTATATTGAATATTTTTTAAGCTTTTATTTTCATGCCAGAAATCCTAATCTGAGTGTCATTTCTCTGTACACTCAAAACAGGCATATCTGCAGTTTCCATCAAACGTTGCAGAAGATGATACAGAGACCAAGGACAAAGGGTCATTGCCACAACCACCCATTACTGAAGTGGAATCACAGGTGCTCAGAGAAAAACTCACCACTAGCACCACTACCTTTGAAGCTGCCTCTGAAGGTGAGGGCCCTTTAAAGCAGCAGCAGAGAAATCTTAGAAGGGAGAGACTGAGGGAATCCCCCACTCAGGGGAAAAGCTTCAGACAGATGATTGTAACCCATAAGATAACTCCTACAGGGAAGAAAGACCATAAATGCAGTGAATGTGGTAAAGCCTTCATTTATAACTCACACCTTATCATCCACCAGAGAATTCATTCTGGAGAGAAAATCTATAAGTACAGTGACTGTGGGAAAATGTTCAACCAGAGTTCAAACCTCATTCAGCATCAGAGAATTCATACAGGAGAGAAACCCTACAAGTGCTATGCCTGTGGGAAGTCCTTCAGATGGAGTGCTCATCTTGTTCAGCATCAGAGGATTCATTCGGGGGAGAAGCCCTACAAGTGTAATGAGTGTGGGAAAGCCTTCAGTCAAAGCTCCTGTCTAAGTCAGCGTCTGAGAATCCACAGTGGCAAGAAACCTGTCATTTGTAAAGAATGTGGGAAAGCCTACAGATGGAGTTCCAAGCTTATCAGACACCAAAGAGTTCATGCCACATGAGAAGAGCCTTCCACATGGCAGTCCATGTGGGTGAGAAAGTCTCCAGGCAGAGTTGTACTTTTGTCTAATCAGTGTTAGGACTAGATTCCATAAAAGTTATAAGCGCCTTAAGATTTTTCCCGTGTCTTTCTTGATTTAGGAAAAACTGTTACCTAGTCCTACTACCTGCAGGTCATCATTTCACACCCTCTGTTTGAGATGACTGTATCAACTAGCATACCTTTGGCTTCGAGTAACAGCCAACATGCCAACTTCATTAGAGTTCTGGGTCCGGCACAGAGCTGCTGTGCAGGTAATGGCCATCCTATATTAGTATTCTTATGAATGGGTCTTTAGTCCTGGCCCTTCCTCAGCCCCACAGTAATCTGCCTATTGGGACAGGGTCCCATTTACAACTGTCCAACCATGAGACAGAAACCACACTTGTTATTTGAGCAGGGAAAGTTTAATATAAAGAAGTATTAACTAGTCAAGGGGAATGATCTATTAAAGGAGATAAAGAGATCTTAAGAATATAGGACCAGGAGCATGGGGAACAGCTATTACCTCTAGGGAGAGCCACACACAAATAGCCCAGGACTCTGGACTGATGTGGCTGCTCTAGTGGTGCGTGAGAGCTGGTCTGTAGAGGCATGCAACAGCCAGTTTGCACCTTTTCACCAGCCTGCATTGAAGTTGGTGATGGTGGGAGTTTACTGTGAAAGTCAGGACTTTATAAAAAAAAAAAAAAAAAAAACAGTTGTTAAATATTGACCAACATGACATCGGCTGGTAAGGTTCATCAAGGTGATACAGGCCAGGGCAGGAAGCCACTGGTTGAGGTACCTGCAAACTCACCAGAGGACAGGTGCCACATGGTAAGGACAAGAAGGGAAAACTACCAGGACCAGAAGCCCCTTCCTCTTTGCTTTGTCCCTCCAGCGCCCTCTCGTGGCAAAGGCCTTCCTGATTCTCAGATACGAGTTTTTATTTCTTTCTCACATAAACGTCCAGACATGAGCTGGCTGTCAGCAGACAGCCCACAGGCCAAATCCAGCTCGTGACCAGTTTTTTTTTAATAGCCCACAAGCTAAGAATCACTTTTATATTTTTAAATGTAAAAAAGCAGGGGGAAAAAGAAAGAAGCGTGGCTCACAAAGCCTGAAATGTTTACTTCTGGTGGCTTTACAGGAAAAGTTTGCCAAGCCCTGGTCTAAGGGACAGCTGAGTTTAGTTTCACCAGATACTTCAAGGACCCACCTTGCTCCTCCATCCCCTAGACTAGGATGGGTTTGCCTGCATGGTTGATGCTGGATCATTACTGTATCCACATTCCAGCTCCTAGGAAGAGTGAAGTAACAGTTTCAAGGACAGGCAGTTTCCTTTTCACCAGGTGTTACAGAAGGTGCCCCAACTGAATCTTGGTGAAGATTCAGTTACACTGCCATATCCACCTACCGCTGGAAAACACCTCCAGCTGGGTGACAGTTTGACCAATTAAAACCCAAGGGGAAGGAGAGAACCAATTTAGAAAGACAATTGGCAGTGCTCTACCCCTTGGAACATCTCCCCACTTCTGCAACCTGGTGCTGCAGGTTGACTGGGGAAGGAGTGTCCTGGTTCCAGAAATGGCAGAGTAGGATCAGGGAAGCAGAGGATGACTCCCACTTGGGAGTCAAGGGAGTGGAGTGTGGATTACAGTCCTCCTGTGACCACAGCTCAGCTCAGAGAATGGGGACGTACCCAGCAGATCAGGGTTAAATAAAAGTTTATCTCCTTTCTTGAAGACTTTTTGGGTAATCTTCGGAAGCTGACCCAGACCTTCGCTCACTCCAATGTATAACCACACTTTTTAGCAAAAGGTGTCAAATTATCAACTCTGCAGGCCCCCTGCCCTCATCCCGTCCACATCTGTCTTCTTAGTCCCTCCAGCAGCCTCAGACGACAATGCTTTCTTCTTTCTGAAGCCAAACCTGCTTTCTGTACCTTGAGTCTGTCCTTTCCCACTGCCACTAAGTTAAATTTTAGTATTTAGTTATTAGATAATTATCTTAATAGGCCTGGTTGTAAGTCGGCAGGCACCTGGGGGACAGCAAGTGAACGTCTGGGAACAGCGTAAGGAATCCCACCTTGAAATGTGAAACATCCTCACGAACGACCTGAGAACGACACCGGCTCAGGTCCCGGGTGGTTGCCCCTGGACTTGACTTGGGGGTCAGCGTAGCAGCGGCCCACGCTCACTCCGGGCCCTCAGACCTCTCGCCCCACAGGTCACCAGCAAAAAGGCAGCTCGGGCCTCGGCCAATCAGCGCGGCGTGCCTCCCGCCCTGCCCGTCAGGTGACGCACGGAGGGGTGCCCGGCTTCCGAGCGCGGCCCCATCTGCAAGGCTCGCGCCCTGACTCGACGCAGCTCCTTCCTCTTGATCCCGGAGGCAGTGGCGGTCGAGCGCCTTCGATGACTTCTTAAAGGTTTGGAGGTGCCGGCAAAGTTGGGTCCACCGATAAAAACACTGCCTCTAAAGCGTGGTACAAATAAGTAGAACATCAGCGTTCTCGTCGGCGGCACAGCAGGAGAGAGTCGCGGCCGAGTCCCCGTGAGAAGCCCGGAGCTGGAGACAGGGACGTGGCAGGGTCGGCAAGGGCCTGGGGAAGGGTGAGCTCGCGTCCTGGCTGGCCTCAAGACAGGGACGTGGCAGGGTCGGCAAGGGCCTGGGGAAGGGTGAGCTCGCGTCCTGGCTGGCCTCGTCGGCCAGCGCTCCCCAGCTCTCAGGGAGGAGGCGGGCTTCCTGCTCCATGGGAGAACCGAAGCATTCTCTCCTACTTCCACTTCGCGGCGCTGACCGCTGCTGCAGAGTTCAGGTCTCCACCAGCCTCGTGGCACGCAGCCCCCGCGCAGCCCACAGGTCCAGTCGCGTCGTAGGCGCTCAGCCTGAGGTTGATGAATGTCCAAGGACCCACCTTATTGAAGCTCTGCCCTCAGGTTATCACCAGAATCGCGCCCCACTTCCCACTGGATTTTACTGAGGCTCCAACTCCCGTCCATTTTCAGGGGTTCACCCAAGGGCACAGTCTTGGCATAGCTTCATCTCCAATGCGGAGGGAATATGATAAGGGAGAGGTTATTGCGGATTACTTGGTAATTTGTGTTATAAGTAAACATTTGATTTCAAAACGTGTAAGGGACTACAGGAGTTCAAAGATGGGTTTCAGATGGTCCATGAATTCCCTGAATTTGCATGCACATTTTTCTAGGCAGAATTTTCTGGAGTTTCAAAGATCCCAGACCCAACAACCTGAAGCCAGGAGTGCCTTAGACCAGGAGTCACTTAAAAGAACATATTTTTTTAAAAAAAGAAGAACATATTAAAACAAAACATAAACACCAGCCCAGAAATCTCAGTAACATTTAAAAATAAAAAGAACCATTCAGATGATGGGGGAGGGGTTGCTTTTATTTTTTTGCCCGCTCAAGCTTGTGGGATCCTAGTTCCCCCACCAGGTATTGAATCGTGCCCTCAGGCAGTGAAAGCATGGAGTCCTAACCACTGGCCCACCACGAAATTCCAATCCAGAATATCTTACATTAAGTTGTTAATCGTGAAAAACTGTATCTATCTAGATAAAGAAAGTAGGTAACATTTACCCTGTTATGAAAGATTGAGGATCTCACCAAGCAAAGCAGATCAACAACAGTGAACAGCATTGCAAAACTGGAAGGTACTACAGCACATGTTGGTGAAATTTATAGTTTGTATAGTACTAAGGAACTTTATAGGATGACAAAAAACTGGCAAAACTTTTTTTTTTTCCTGCCCTGCTAGGCAGATAGGATCTTAGTTCCTCAACAGGGATGCAAACTGTGCCCCCCTGCAGTACAAGCAAGGAGTGGACCACCAGGAAAGCCACTGGACCACCAGGAAAGCCCCAAAGTCACATTAAGACCATAATGAAACAATGTATGTTGGAATTCCCATTAGAAAGGCATCAAATCAATAGAATTGTAAATAAATACTTTATTTACACAAAGTGTTAGAATAACAATAAAACTGCTTAATTAGGAAAGGGTTAAAATATACATGGACATAGCTGCAAAAATCCTGAAGGGTATTTCTGGGTATTTTAGTAGGTCTTTGAGATTGTGAGGCCTGGTATTTTTAATGGGTCTAACATTAAGAAAACCTAAGTCTTTTTTTTTCCTTGACAGAATTCTACTTGCACTAGATTATGACTACCAGTCATAATTACGCTATGGTCAGATTTTGGCTCCCAAGTAAATTGAGGGGGAGGGTGCAAACAAGGAAAAGAGAGGAGTCTTTCTGAGCTAGCTGGATGAGAGGTGGTAAAGGCAGGAAGTGAGGTTACAGGAAGTGTGTATATAAGAGGGTGGAAATAATTTCATTCACCAGAATTTCTCTTGGGAAAACACTAATATATGCTGGCAGGTTCTTAGAATAAGATAGGAGAACTTCCTCCCTTAACATTAGGATCAAGCACAACAAAAACTGGTCACAAAGTTGCATCTAATGTTCCAATAGTATATTTAACTGAAGGGCTTTTTTTTCTATTTGCTAAGCAGTGGGTTTAAGAAAGTAATGGAGCTGGAGGTGGGGGTTGCTCATTATCTGGCAAGAAAAAAGAAGCTTAAGTGATAAACCTGAGAGGCAAGGACAAAGAGAAAATTTTTCAGTGGCAGTTTGTCCAAGGGAACTCTGAGAACAAAATGTCTAACAGGATATGAACCTCCTTCTCCACTTCTTACACACCAAAATCTTCAGTAAAGCTAGTATTACTCATGGGTATGTTTGTGTGAAGGATCCTTTGTGGGGAGCGTAAAGAGGTGCTGAGTTCTATATTAAGGGCTGGCAAGGGGTGTATGTGCCAATAAAATGTTCAAACACAGGAATCAAAAGTTAAGGGAATGGGTGACATCCAGGTTTCATGTGAGAAAGATATGTTTGGGTATAATTCAATTTGAGCTTGAGCAATGAAAAAAGGAATGAGAGCACACTGCACTTGTAATCACCCATGGAAAGAGGTGAGTTAAAGAAATGATAAAGCCTAGTATAGAAAGAGGTATCTGGAAGGATGTGGAAACTGTGTAATCAATCGTCTTATTTTTACAGCCCTTTTCTCAAGCCAAGGGCATGAGCCTGGGGGGACACATATTGGGACACAAGAATAAACCCACTTGATGGGTTTGGGCTGTGACCAATTATGTTTCCAAGGACATGATTTAAATCAGTTATATTCAAATTCATTTAGTAATAGAAAATGTATAAAGAATCTTGAATAAGGCAGTAATGCATCCACCTACCCAGAGTACAGCACAGTGTCTCAGAGCACAGCTCAGGGCTCGAGTCTTGGCTCTAGCACTTACGAGCTGTGTGATCATGAGCTTGATCATGTGGTCAAGTTACCTGACATCTCCCCTGCCCCTCACCTTTCAAATTGGGCTAGAGTACCCAGATTGCTGATGGTTATACAACTCTATAAACTAAAGCACATTCAACTGAACACTTAGAACAGGAGAATTTTATGGTATGTAAATTATACCACAATAAAGCTGTTTTGTCTGTCTTTAAAAAAAAAAGAGGACCCACATCATAGGGAGGTTATAAAAATAAAAATGTAAACTGTCTAGCATTGTTCTGACACATAGTAAAACTTCAATAAATACTAGTGATTAGTATTAGTGTAATAAAGAGATTAAAGAATAAAACACTGAAGATACATAAAGTTAAATTTTTTAAAAAAGAGTTGAGGAATTCTTGGGCTGGTTGAAACTTGAGATCATTTAGTTCAACTCCCCTTATTTTACAGATGAGGAAACTAGGGATCAGCAGGTGAAGTGCCTTATTCAAGGTCTAATTCTTAGACCAAACCTGAACCTGCTGGATTCTCATTAGTGCAATTCCCACTACCTCAGAAAGATTGCCTCAGAAACACTGACACATGAAATATTGAGGATGTGTTTCCTTGGAGGAAAAAGAAACACATAGGAGAACACAAAAAACACATGTAGAGATGTTGAAGAAAGAGAATTCCAAAGTCAAGGGCAAAGTGAGAAGAGGCTATCACATTCTGGTCCATGAACCAAGGCCCCCAACAGTGGTCATGAGAGCTTAAGTGCTTTGGCAAGGCAGGGGCCCTGGTCAGTCAGGTGAACCTGCTCATCACTGTGGCCTGGTGCCTGCTGACAATGAAGCTGCACAGTCCTCTTTGAGCATCTTCCTGACACAGGATCTGTCAGCAGCAGCAGCAGCAAGAACTGGGGCCAAAAGGGAACGCAGCAGAGTTCTTGGGAGCAGTCAGTCTGAGCGGCTGTGAAAGAGCTGCTTCTAATGTTGAGTGGCCTGGCCTCACTTGTTTATCCCCTGGCCTTGCTAATCAGCCCCTCTGGATTCTGAGGGCCTTCACTTATGATCCTGTAAATTGCCTGTCAGTTTCCTCCATCAGGGCACCTCTTCAAATCACGGAGGAAGTCCTAGATGGAAGATGACCGAAGTTTCCTGCTTCTTCATTAGTACTGCCATCTTCTAAGGAAACGTGATAGAGTTTGGAACATTTTGAAGCTAATAAAGCTTACTAAATCCCAATGCTAAACAGTGAAAAAAGACAGAGAGGTATGTCTCCTAGGCCATGACTTTAACATTTCAGGGGTTAATATTTAAAGGGTCAACTCTGCCATTCCTAGGAGGTGGTGGAATCACATTCCTCCGTTTTTCCTGAATAGTAACAATTTGGGCTAGATGACTGGTGCAGACCCCTAATGTTATGTGGTCCACTAGGGGGTAAGGAGAAAGGGGAGGAAAAAGGAAAGAGGAGAATTAAGGCCTGAAACAGCTTTTATGATTTAACTCAGTACAGTGAAACTTCTCAATGAATAGTTCATAAAAGTGCCTCATCCTTTTTTGTCCAGCTGCTTAAATAAAAATCAGGACAAGGACAGGGGAGGTTCTGCCCATTCATCTCATCTGAGAACTCGAGGTGCAGATTAAGAACATGAAGTCTGACTTCAACTTTTCCCTCAGAAGGCTTTCCTGTTTTGCAGATCATTCCATACAGTGGACACTTTGATGTCGGAGGAGGTGAGAGCTCCGACTGAAGGTCTTCTGGCATTCTTGGCACTCGTAAGGCTTCTCTCCTGTGTGAATTCTCTGATGTATGATAAGCTGGGAATGCTGGCTGAATGTCTTCTCACATTCATTACATTCATAAGGTTTCTCTCCAATGTGGATTTTCTGGTGGAGAAGCAGCTCAGAGTTGTCCCAAAAGGTTCTGGCGCATTCATTACACTGATGAGGTTTCTCTCCAGTATGAATTCTCTGGTGGACAATAAGGTGAGAGGTCCGTCTAAAAGCCTTCCCACACTCAAAGCACTCATAGGGTTTCTCTCCAGTGTGAATTCTCTCGTGTCTAAGAAGTTCCGAGTTCCCCCTAAAGGCCTTCCCACATTCCTTACAAACGTAGGGCTTCTCACCAGTATGAATTCTAATATGCCTGATTATCTCAGAGTTCTGGCCAAAAGTTTTCCCACATTCATTACATTCATACGGTTTGTCTCCTGTGTGAATTCTTTGATGCCGGATGAGCTCGGAACTCTGCCCAAAGCCTTTCCCACACTCATTACAGAGATAGGGTTTTTCTCCAGTATGAATTTTCTGGTGTCTAATAAGGCCTGAGCTATGTTTGAAGGCTTTGCCACACTCATTGCATTCATGGTATCTTTCTTCAGTATGAATTCTCTGATGCTGAATAAGCTGTGAGCTAACCCTAAAGGTCTTCCCACATTCATTACATTCATATGGTTTCTCCCCAGTGTGGATTCTCTGATGTAGGATAAGGGCTGAATTCTGACTGAAGGCTTTACCACATTCTTCACATTTATAAGGTCTCTCTCCAGTGTGAATTCTATGATGGTGGATGAGATGTGAACTCTGAATGAAGGCCTTTCCACATTCATTACAGGCAAAGGGCTTCTCTCCAGCATGAATTCTCAGGTGCCTTCGAAGGCTTGAGTTAGTTCCAAATGTTTTTCCACATTCTTTGCATTCAAAGGGTTTCTCTCCACTATGAACTCTCATATGCTGAATAAGATGTGAGTTCTGATTAAAGGCTTTCCCGCATTCTTTGCATGTATGAGGCTTTTCTCCCACAGAACTTCTGTGTGTTTTGTTAGGTCCTAAATTCTCTATGAAATTCTGGCCAGAAGTAGCAAATGTGCTAGCTGCCTCTACTGTGGTGTCTCCCTGACGTGTGAGCAGGTTTGAGCTGAGTCTGCAGACTCGCTCACTCTCATCCTTCTCCTGATCTTTCTCACTTGAGGGTGATTTCTTAAAGGTAATCAACTCTGATGCAAAGTCTCTCTCCTCAGACGACTTCTGCCTCAGAATCTTTTCTGTGGACTCTCCGGAATGCCCCTCCAATATGTCTTCACACACTGCTCCAAACTCACGACCCTGGCACACCACCTTTGGAAGTTTTTCTTCCATTTTTTCTAAAAATGCCCCATGTGGCTGAGATTCTTCAGAAATTTCTTCCTTGGGAATTACCTCCTTGTTCTCAGTCCCCATCTCACAATCTGAAATGAGAGAAGTAAGTCTGTGAAGTGGCTGTATCAGAGCTAAATGAAGCCCATGCTAGGAAGTAGGGAGCTCAACAGGGTTCTGACAGCACTTTCTGTATCTGGTGAGATTATAGGATGCTATGGAAGAGAAGAAAAAGGTTCAGGATTATGGTGGACATGCTACACAAATAGCAGACGCTGACTGAAGAGAGTGAGAGGAATGACCAGAGGAAGAGATTTAAGGCCAGAGACAGGAAATGGATGGTAAGAAGATGCTGATAAAAGTTCCCTAATATTAACAGTGAGTTGAGACAGAACCTGAGGTTGGTAAGAAAAACATTTAAGGAAAATTGTGGCCATGTTAACAGATAATATATGGAGAAAGTTGGAAGAAGGGACAAAAGTGACTAATATGACTCTGGAGTTTATAGAGGAAGTAACCAGAAATGAGTAGCAAGAAGAGCTATCTTTAGCCCAGTGCTGTGGTGCTCACCAGCTCTACAGAACAGGGGATTGTAAACGTAGGGGTCACCCACTCAGAAGGTTAACATGACTTAGCTACAATGGGCAGAGAAGGAACCACACTTGACTCCCTTATATTTGGATGAAGTAAGGTTCTAGCTTAATTTTCTCCAGATGGTTACTAAACTGTATCAATACCTAATTTTCCCTACTAATTTGAAATGCCTCCTATACCACAGTCTAAAATTCCATATATGTATCTGGGTCAATCTCCAGACTCCTTTCAGTTCTCCTGATCTGTCTATTCCTTCTCTAATACCAAACTGTTCAACCTACTGTAGCTTAAAAAGTTTTAATATGTTAGAGAAAGTTCTCTGTCTTCTTTTACAAAAACTTCCTGTCTACTCTATTTTCCAAATGAATTTTAGTATAATTTTGTAAAATTTCCAAACTTACCCTGATGCTTTTATATCTATCACATCTCTGTATGTCTTTTAGTGAGTTTTTCTTATATTTTCTAACTGGTTGTTATTATATATATGTTTGCAATGTTATTTATGACTATTATAGTTGGTCCCTTTATGTAATTTTCTTAGCACTTTTATACATCTATAAGCCTGTATTTTTAAAAAGACTTCTAAAATGCTATGGCAAGGATTTTTAGTTGTCTATCCCAATCTTCCCTCTTCCTCACCTCATCAACAACAGAATAATGAATTTACTCTTGTAGCAACAAGGCTACCTAAAGAAATGTATTCTCTAGCCTTCTTTGCAGCTAGATTTGGTGACATCACCAACTTCTGGCCAACAAGACAGTAAAACACAAATGAAAGCACAAGGGACTTCTGGGATATCTACTTAAAGGTAAGGATACATTTCTTCACCCTCCTTGGGGCTGTGCCTGGGGCATTAGGTGACAGCTGGAGTGCCACCTCAGACCATGCGTTCACCAGCACACCCTGGACCAGAGCAGGAAGGACCCTGGGTCCCTGGTGACTCTGTAAAGCTGCCAGACCAGCCCTGGAATGCCTGTCTCTGGATTTCTTTTATCTAAAAGAGAAATGAGGTTTTTCCTTGCTTAAGTCATTATGGTTTTTTTATTTATGAAGTCAAACTTGCTACTAACAGGTACAATGGCTCCAGAGATTTGGCAAGGGTAATAGTAGTAGTGTGAATGAAGAGGAAACAGACTAGAGAAATGTTTGAGAAAACAAATCCTCTAAGACTTGGGGTACAATTGAATACAAGCATGAGGTAGGTATAATCAGATGGATAGTGGTACCACCAAGGTTGGGAATATTGAGGAATAGCTAGTTTAGGAGGGAAGATGACAAGTGAGCTCTGTTTTGGACAAGATGAGTTTCAACACATCCATACAGAAGTATCAAAGAATCAGCCAAAATATATTGGTCTAAAGCTTACAGCAGTCAAGACAAGAGATACAGACTTGACAGTACTCAGCATAGGCAGTAATGAATACAATGTGAGAACTAGCAGATACTGAAGACAGAGACCTAGAAAGCCAAAGCCAACATTCAAGAGTACTCCAGTTAGATTCCATGTTCACTCCAGATCCTTCAACTTTTCTCCACCCTGCTCTCTGCCCCACAAGGCTAACCTACCCAGCACTCACCAACAGGCCCTCTGGCTTCCAGTTGTGTTTTACCAATGGGGAGCCCCAACAGGAGGCTGAAAGGAGGGAGGAGAGTGAGGTCGGAGTATTTATCCTCCTGGTTCCTTCCTATGAGGTCTCCTTGAGCTCCTGGTGCCCTTCAACTGAAGCTCATTACTCGTCTCAAGGAGTCTGTCCTACCCAACTGTCTCATGTGGGTTCCAGAACCTCTCCTACCTCTTATCTCTCCTGGTCTAGGGCTGGTGACTGCTACTGCCAGTCCCAGGTTCCTCAACACCCTTCCCACACCCACACCTTTTACAACTAACTTCTTTGCAAATAAACCCTACTCAGATTATCCTAATTTGAGCGAAGTACCTGTTTCCTGTTAGGACCCTAGTGATAAAGGGGTAGTGAGAGGAATATAAGCCCTCCAGGAAGAGAAAGAAGGATTAATGAAGTAGAAGTACCAGAATACAGAGGCAGAGAGGTCACCAAGGCCATGGCAGAGGGAACAACAAAGCATCACAGGCAGCTGAGAGATCCAGGAGGATAAGAACTGGGAAACGCCTGCCGAGTAGTTACAGGTGACACATGCGAACAGAGTCAGTGGAATGACAGCAGCAGAAACCAGGAGGCAGTGGACTGATTAGTAAATTTGGTGCTTCTTTCAGAAAATTTAAATGAAAAGAGAGGACCAAGATGGGCACTAGTGCAAAAGGCCAAAGAAAATCAAAGAAGGATTTTCTCCAATGGGAGAGAGTTGAATATGCTTATGTTAGAAAGGATGGTGCCAATAGAGAGAAAGCTTAAGAGAGAAGAAAAGATGAGATTAGTGAAGAAATGAAGATTCTCAGAGGCAGGAGAGACTGGGGAAGGGGAAAGCGGGGATTTTGGGGGTGCCCTTTGTTCTGCCCTTTTCCTCTGCCCAGCCTCCAGTCATCCGCGGGATCATACCCCGCGGCCTCCCGAGTCACTCAGGAGTGCAGCCCTGGTGAGCTGCCCACCCCCGCCCCACTCCTGGAAGGAACCTGATCTCCTACTGGAATCCTAAAGTCTTGGAAGCTCTTTCTGCTACCCCTAAAAATGAACTGGAATCTTCTTCAACTTTCCCCCACCCAGTGCCTTCTCTAATTTTCCCATGGAAAAAAAGCAGACACTCAAAACCTGGATTTCCCCTTTCCATTGAAGTTTTTGAAAATTATAGATAATGTGTACCTATATAACTGTAAGAATTCATCATAGAGAATTTAGCTCTCTTCTTCAACCATGGTACTATTTGAGTTAGGAAGCGCTGTCTTAAATAAATTTCTCTCTAATGCTCATCCAAGAACAAGTTCCACAAGCTGGTATTTCAGTCCCTGTCTACTTCTGACCCCTCTCTGGCCTTTCCTTTTCACCACCATCTCTCCTATAGTTACTTCTTTTTATCATCTAGCTCCTTACAAAATCAGCATTCATAAAACTCACATCTGTCTCACACCATATGGAAAAGCATGTGTTCACAGAAAAACAAGACACAAGACATAGAAGTCAGGCATGTATATCTATCCCCAACTTCAACACCTGGTTCAAAATTCTAATCCAGAAAGTCTTCCCCAATTAAATTTTGCCCCCTCTGATTATTTTTACTTTGCATTCCACCAGTGCCACAATACTAATGCCATTTGTTAAATATTGTTTTGTTTTATAGACACCTTCTCATGTATAAATAAAACCATCCTTCCTTTTTTTTTTTTATCTTTTGGCCACACTTGGAGGCATGTAGGATCTGTTTCCAACCAGAACTGGAACCCATGGACCCTGTAGTGGAAGTTCGGAGTCTTAATCACTGAACCACTGCGCAAGTCCCAAAGCCATCCTCCTTTTGACTGATTTTCCTAGAGGCACAGACACACATTAGACCTTGTCCTCATATGGAAACACTCCACTACTCATAGCACAAATTCAAATTTCCAAACATAATTTCCTATGTTTCTCAATTCTTCACTTTTCTAAATTTAAAATGAGTTTTTTTCTGGAGAGAGAGAAGATGGACGTGCCATCTCAGAAGTAGGCTGAGCACCCTTAAGTCCTCAGTTTGGGGGCTGACAAGCGTCTGCTGGGTCTCCAAAGTTCAGAACAGAGTTTTCAACTCTGCAGATCTGTATTTCTTTTAATGCACTCAGAAATCCTCATTCACAAAATAATGATGCATAAACCAAATATCCACCAACTTATTAACCACGAGAAATGAAACTTTTAAAGGACCATACTGCCTACATGAGAAGCTGCATAAAACTCAAAAAATTGTTCAGTGGGCTTGCAATCATAGCAGGAAGGTTTTTGTGTTTGTTTAATAAACAAACCTTAAATAATGATTCTTGGCCTGGGATTAGGTTAGATTCAGAAAAGTCAACTAGAAAAACCTCTGAAAATACTAACTTCCAGGTCCCACCTCAGATCTCTTAGAGTCAGAATCTCCAGGGATAGGCTAAGTCATCTGTTTTCTTCTTTAGACCATAAGCAAGGATCTTCTATTCATCTTGACATTCCCAGTGCCTAACATATT